GAGAAACAGGACCACACTGGAAAACAGGCCGATCTCCAACATCTATTAACAAGGGTGTTGATAGAAGCAGCACAGCTGATGTTTTTTTCCAGGATGACGTCACAGCCAAACAGGAACAGACGAGGCAAAGCTACTCTGAGGAAAAGCAGAGAGAGCAGAAGGTTAGAGATTGAACTAACAGATTCTGCAGAATAGGAGAACAGAGAGAGAATGAAGCAGAATGATGAAATGGGGGTCCCTATGTCCTCCAAAAGTCTAAGCCTATAGCAGCATAACTATAGAGATAGCTCAGGATAACCTGAGCCACCCTAACTATAAGCTTTATCAAAAAGGAAAGTTTGAAGCCTAGCCTTAAAAGTAGACAGGGTGTCTGCCTCACGGACTAAAACTGGTAGTTGGTTCCACAGGAGAGGAGCCTAATAACTAAAAGATCTGCCTCCCATTCTACTTTTAGAAATTCTAGGAACCACTAGTAAACCTGCAGATTGAGAGCGAAGTGCTCTGTTAGGAACATAAGGAACAATCAGATCTCTGATATAAGATGGAGCTTGGCCATTTAAGGCTTTATATGTGAGAAGGAGGATTTTAAATTCTATTCTTGATTTAACAGGAAGCCAATGAAGAGAAGCCAGGATAGGAGAGATATGATCTCTCTTTTTCATTTTCATTAGAACTCTGGCTGCAGCATTTTGGATCAGCTGAAGGCTTTTAACTACAGCTTGTGGACTTCCTGATAGTAAAGAATTACAATAGTCCAGCCTTGAAGTAACAAATGCATGGACTAGTTTCTCAGCATCACCCCTGGACAGGATATTTCTAATTTTTGCAATGTTCCTCAGATGAAAGAAGGAAATTCTAGAAACCTCTTTGATATGGGATTTAAATGACAGGTCCTGATCAAACATAACACCAAGATTTTTTACTTTATTATCTGAAATCAGTTTAATCCCATCCAAATGAAGTAACTGGCTAATCAGTTTCTTTTTCAGAGACTCTGGTCCAAAGACTATAACTTCTGTTTTGTCTGCATTCAGAAGCAGAAAGTTAAGAGTCATCCAGGTTTTTATGTCTTCAAGACATGCCTGTAATCTATGTAATGGGTTAGCTTCATCTGGATTTATAGACAGATATAGCTGGGTATCATCAGCGTAACAGTGGAAATTAATCCCATGCTGTCTAATAATTCTACCAATTGGGAGCATGTATAAAGTAAAGAGAATTGGTCCTAGCACTGATCCCTGTGGTACTCCACAGGTAACCTTTGAGCGTGTTGAAGATCTATCATTAACATGAACAAACTGAATTCGATCAGAAAGATAAGATTTAAACCAGTCTAGTGCTGTTCCTTTAATTCCAACAAAATATTCAAGTCTTTCTAAAAGAATATTATGGTCAACTGTATCAAATGCAGCACTAAGATCCAACAGGACGAGCACAGATACAAGTCCATTATCTGAGGCCATGAGAATATCATTAGTGACTTTCACCAGAGCTGTTTCAGTGCTATGATGAGCTCTAAAGCCAGACTGAAACTCTTCAAAAAGTTCATTATGGTGGAAGTGATCGCAAACTTGTTTGGCAACTACTTTCTCAAGAATTTTGGATAAGAAAGGAAGATTGGATATAGGTCTATAATTGACCAAGTCATCTGGGTCAAGAGACGGTTTCTTAAGCAGAGGTTTAATTACAGCAATCTTAAAAGCTTTAGGTACATATCCCTGTAACAGAGATAGATTAATCACATCTAAAATGGAGGAGGAGATCAAAGGGAATACCTCCTTAAATAACCTGGTTGGAACTGGATCTAACATACAAGTTGAAGGCTTAGATGAAGACAATAATTTTGCTAATTCAGAGAGTTCAACTGGATCAAAGCAGTCTAAACCCGGTTCAGATTCCATGACTACCTCAGGTACAATCGCGGATAGAGGAGTGCTTATGATCTTATTTTTAATAAGATCAATCTTATTTATAAAGAATCCCATAAAATCATTGCTGCTAAGAGCAGGTGGAATGGACGGTTCAACAGAGCTATGGCTCTGGGTGAGTTTGGCAACTGTATTAAAAAGAAATCTAGGATTATTCTTATTCTCCTCTATTAATGAGGAGAAGTATGCTGCTCTTGCTTTACAAAGAGTCCTCTTATACAGCAGTAAACCATTTTTCAAGACTAGGAAGGACTCCCGCAGGCCTGTGGAGCGATATTTTCTCTCCAGTTTCCTAGCATTTTGCTTCAAAGTACGCAGCTCTGCATTAAACCAAGGAGCAAGCTTTCTATTTTTAACGGTTTTCATTTTCAAAGGAGCTGCGTTGTCTAAGGCAATACGCAGAGAACTAGCAACCCCATCAACAAAATCATCAACCTGTGAAGGGGAATAAGCTAAGCTTTTGCACTCTGCAGCACTGCTCAGTGACACAGAGCAGAGAGAAAGTGAAGCAGATTCTTTAAAATTTATAACTGCACTATCTGATAAAGATCTACTAAAATTGAACCTTCTTTTGGGGGAGGAGAACTCTGTTAAAGTAATCCTGAAGGTTATTAGAAAGTGGTCAGAGAGGACAGGGTTGTGAGGAAATACTGTTATTTCTTCACATTCTATGCCGTATGTCAGCACAAGATCCAAAGTATGAAGATGAGAATGTGTGGGACTATTCACATTTTGAACAAAGCCAATAGTGTCTAAGATAGTATTAAAGGCTGCTCTTAAGCTATCGCCTTCAATGTCAGCATGGATGTTAAAATCTCCCACTATGATGACCCTGTCAGTATTTAATACCAAATCAGAAAGGAACTCTGAAAACTCATCTAAAAATTCAGAGTAAGGACCTGGTGGACGATACAAAGTTACAAAAAGAATAGGTTTTCTTGCCTTGAAATTTGGATCAGGGAAATTAAGGGTTAAATGTTCAAAAGAGTTGTAGGAATTAATTGTTTTGGGAGTAATCAGTAAGTCAGACTCGAAGATTGTTGCTACTCCTCCTCCTCGCCCAGAACTTCTGGGGATGTGAAAATTTAAATAGCTTGAAGGAGTTGCCTCATTTATGCTCACATAATCCTCTTGCTGCAGCCAGGTTTCTGTAAGGCAAAACAAGTCAATGTGATTATCACAAATCAAGTCATTAACTAGTAGACTTTTAGAGGAAAGCGATCTTATGTTAAACAGACCGCATTTAATTGTTTTAACTTTTTCCCCAATTGGAGTTATTTTGATTTTAATTAGATTATCATGATTTACTCCTTTGGGAATCTTTGCTAATTTATTAGATTTTGGTCGTGGGCAAGACACTGTCTGGATGGAGTAAAGAGTGGGTAACAGTAGAGAAGCTGCAGAGATGTGTGTTAAACTCTCGCTTAAGGTTACTGCAATACAAATGGTTAATGCGAATCTATATTACACCAGTCAATTTAAATAGGTACAACCCTAATATACCAGATGTATGCACAAAATGTTTAGAAGAAAAGGGGACTTTGTTTCATTGTATTTGGAAATGTACGGAAATTCAAAACTTTTGGAAAGCCATAAGAAGAACTTTGGAACACCTTGTCTCTAAAGTTGTTGCACTTGATCCTGCTTTTCTAATTTTAGGTTTGTACCCTAAAAATACTTTGTTTACCAAAAGTGAAGAATTGTTGATTGATATATGTCTACTACAGGCTAAAAGGCTGATAGCACTATCCTGGAAGAGAACAACAGGACCAGGTATCAACCAATGGATTAAGCAAATGCTGAAGACTTTACCTCTGGAACGCATAACGTATCTCCAGAAAGGGAAAAGCGATCTATTTGAAAACATTTGGAGACCCTTCCTGAATTTTGTTGAAGGAGTGGACATATCTCACAATGACGAAACCAGTTAGAGACAAGTTTAATGTCAAAACACAATGTGCAACAAGGGAGCCTCAACAGTGGACTATTTTCTCCTGTATACTTAAAGGAGTCTATGCAGATATGTATCTAAGAGGGTGTTCGTAGGTCCTGTTTACTGTACTGGTTATGTGGCAGGTGTATCTGTAAAAAAAAAAATACAATAAAATTTTTGTTGGAAAAAAAAAAAAAGAACACATTATGTCCGAGGTCTTTGCATCTACTATATAAAATGCTGGTAATGCCATATATGACATACTTTGGCAAGATATGGGTGAAAACATGAATCAATCATACAGCCAGTTATCTCTGATCTTAGTTTGTTTTTTTGTTTTCGTTAAGAAATCTTTGAAAAAAAAATATATAAGTCCCTTTATTTTGCCACAATGGGGGAATTCTCTCTCTGTATTTAACCCATCTCCTTGGGGAGCAGTGGGCTGCCCATTGTGCGGCGCCTGGGTAGCAGTGTGGGGTTAAGGGTTTTGCTCAGGAACCCAAAATCAGTCTGTGGGGATTGAACTGGGTATTTGCAAGCTTCTCAGAGCACAACCACACTGCTCTAACCACTAGGCCAACACTCCAACCACTGGTCTTGTGGCTCCGGTTTCCTTTCTTCACACCTCAAATAAAAGTTAAACTTGTGCAGATTCTTGTTTAATGTTGCAGGTATCCACTTAAATACTGTAACCTATAGTTTAATGGCTTCTGTATGGATCTCTGTAAATCCCTGACCAGTCTCATAAGCTGCTCTGTCATCTGTTTGATTCTCACCATGCTGCTCATTTTAACTGGTTCAGGAGCAGCAAAGCAAATCTGTGATTTTCAAACAGGGTAAACCTCCTTCAGGGTGCTTAGTAGGGATGTTCTCATCATGAGCAGCTGATATGATCCACCTGTGTGTTGATTTAGACATTAAAAGGCAGTAAATATCAGGATATTGTATTCATTTTTTATGTATTTTTTTTTTTTTTACCAGAAATTGCACTTTTTGTTGTTACATTCTTGCATTTTTAAAAATAGATTTTTAATATCCCCATGTCAAAATATGGATACCGGTATATAGCTTTATGGCAAATAACCAGGCTGTAGTAGGGTGTCTTAATTTCTCATGAGCGATGATTCGGGTTTTTTCACCTGTGCTGCTGTAGAAGGCGAGTCCACTAGAGGCGTGGAAGTGTTCGATGAAGAACTGGGACAAGACGATCTCATCCGTCCTTAGAGAGTCATTCCCGTTCTTCCAATAAAGCATCAGATCGTTCTCATTATAAGCGTCTGTAGAGGCAGAAACACAGGAATACAAACAAGGGGAAATGCTTTGAAAGAGAGCCTGCAGTCACTGTCCTCCATCATTGGTTTAGCTCTCAAACAGGCCATGATTTGATTGGCTCGGTTCTTACAGCTCTCCAGCTCCAGCGAACAGTTCTGGGTGTCCAAAGGGAAACTGCTGAAGTCCATTGAGCAGAGAGCTGTCACCGTGACCCTGAAAACAGGCAACCACAGCTGAACACGACACTCACATTTAAAGGAATAGTACACCCAAAACATGATTAGCCTCATTTTCTCCTCACCCCATGCTGAACAACACTCTGGAGTACTTTTTTGATATCTCAAATGCATCTGGAGATCTGGGAGGCTTCTTGCTGTCTGCTGACATTCAAATAATGGAGGTCTATGGCGCCCGAGGCAGAAAGGTCCATAAAAGTCCACAGAAAACGTGTCAATATTCCTCCATACTGCTCGTCCAATGTATTCCAAGTGTCCTGAGTGGGTAGCATCCAGAATTTACTCGAAACGAAGTCATTTAGAATGTTTTTAGAGCATAAACAGTAGTGTATAGGATTTCCTGAAAGCGCGCACATGCGCGATCACGACGCTACGAAAGCCGGCAGACCAAACCAGCGCATTCAGCTCGGCAAAGAACTCATGCTCTTCCTCAACACTGAAGTCCTCAGACATTTTTCCTTTCTTGTTTCTTTCTTTGCACAGGTAAACAGCACATTTCTTCTTCTACGCTTGCATTATTGGCAGAGCAGACGCTGAATGCGCACTTTCGTCTGGTTTGGTCTGCCGGCTTCCGTAGCGTTGTGAACGCTTTTAGGAAATCCTATACACTACTGTTTATGCTCTAAAAACATTCTAAATGACTTCGTTTCGAGTAAATTCTGGATGCTACCCACTCAGGACACTTGGAATACATTGGACGAGCAGTATGGAGGAATATTGACACGTTTTTTGTGGACTTTTATGGACCTTTCTGTCTCGGGCACCATAGACCTCCATTATTTGAATGTCAGCAGACAGCAAGAAGCCTCCCAGATCTCCAGATGCATTTGAGATATCAAAAAAGTACTCCAGAGTGTTGTTCAGCATGGGGGTGAGTAGAAAATGAAGGCTAATCATGTTTTGGGTGTACTATTCCTTTAAGGTTATATATAACGTGGACATAATTTTTTATGTTTATTGTTTTAAGCATAGATAGAAGCTGTGTCTAAACGTCTGCCCTAATCACTATAAAGTATATATAGTGGTTACTCTATTTTAGATGAGTGTTGGAATGTCCTTAATGACACCAACACCACCAAAATCTGTCCATCTAGAAGCCAAACAAAACACCAAACAGTAAAATTATCTATATTAGAGGCGATACCAGCAGAGTTTGCTGTTAAACCAAAGTAAAAAAAAAAGAAAAAACATTATGATAAAATTTGCTTAATTTCAGACCTGATGCGAGATCTGTACCTGACACTGTAGAGGATGTTACCGTCGGGGTAAACCCGCAGCATGATGTTCTCCATGGTGGTGTCATGGATGAAGGAGCGCTTGGAGTGGACAAAGAAGACGTCAGGAACCCAGATCTTCTTCACCAGTCGGGAGTCAAACGTCCGGCTCTTGTTGTTTTGGGATGGAAACGACAGCCGCTCATCTTTCCAGTAATGACGGAGGTATAGGGTTGTGGTGAAGTCCTGGAGGAAACAAACACAATTTAACCCATTTCATATCATTACGCTGACTTTTATTATAGCATTTTTTTTGCTAATGTTTTGATTTTCTATTTGGTCTACTTTACATTTATAGCTGAACAATATCTTATCAATTAAAATGTCATGGAGAAATTTATAAATACAAGGTAATTTAATATGAATTCCTTCAACACTGTTTTACAATAGCAGGGAAAACTTAAATTTAAATGGAAACCTTTGAATTTTAGTCTTAAAGAATTGAAATTTAGTATTAAACCAATATTTTATTGGAAATATGGGAAATAAACGTGAATTAATGTTACTTCTTTAATTAACTCTCCTAATTTATGTTCTGTCTTCATTAATAATATTCTTTCAATCTAAGATTTTAAATAGATCTTAAGCTATTATTTTCCAAGGTGGATTAACTAAGTTTTTTTTTTTCCGGCAGGAACTTTTCTAAGCATTGTCTTCAAATTTCTAATCCGCTTTAGTTTATAGTTCTTTTTATTAGCTTTTATTTTTCGAACTTTAATCTTAAACTTCATTTTTGATTACCTTTGTATCATTGTCCAATATGACCACCTCACTGTGTCCAAATGTTATCATTCAGTAGATTTTAGAGGAGGTTTAAGAAGTCTTTATCTATTTCTTTGAAGCACCAATACAAACAGTCATAACTCCACCATACTTGACAGCTGTTGTCATGATTGTGGCGCTGATGGCTGGCTGACTGCTCATTTCATTCACCTGTCTAGCTCTGCCCTGTTCCTCATCACTCATCAGATCCACCTGTTCTTTTTTCCTATTTAAGCTGCCTGATTCAAAGGCATCAGCGCCAGATTATTCTTGAGCCTTTGGTGTTCAGAGTTCTCTAGCGTAACTATAGTGTTCTGATTTTCTGAACTTTTTCTGTATTTGGACCTTTGAGCCTGCCTGCCCTTGTTCTGATTAGTTTGCCTGCCTGTCTTTGGACTCCTGTCAGATTCCTCTGTGGACTGAACCTGGATCTGCCTCTAGACTTTGCCCTGTGAATTATCCTGTCTTCCATCTTCAGCTCGAAACTGATCTCCTGTCAGTTCTGCAGCCTTCTGGGCTTCCATGTCTGGAACTCTCTTGCAGCATCTGCTGCGCTCGTTCAGTTGACTGGCTGGAATCATCCTCATTCACCGAGCATGAACTAAACTAAACCAGGTTAGTGACTTGCACGTTCATAATCATCCTCCGTCAGATTTTCGCAGTCACTAACCTGTGTTTCTCCAGTAATCGTTCCTGCGTCAGACACCTTAGCCGCCAGAGGTGTCAAGTAACGACGTACAAATAGGCTACTTCGTTACTGTACTTAAGTGCACTTTTTAGGTATCTATACTTAACTCCATTACTTATTTTTCTTCCTACTTCTGACATCTACTCATTACATTTTCACACAAGTATCTGTACTTTCTATTCTTTACATTTTTAAAACAAACGTTACTCGTTACTCTTGGCTTTGGTTTAATGCAGAGGTCAGGGATTAGCGGACCGCGGTCCGGTGTTATGCCGAAAAATGCATGCCTGCCGAGATATGCATTCCCAGTCGCGGGAGCGCACCTTGTTCTGTAATTGCGACTATCGACGAGGAAAACGGATTTAAATCTGACCAATGGAGTTACTTTTTGTTATATTAATGATATAAAAATGTTTAAATATTCCTCTCGTGGGAAACAAATTGTGGTTATTTGGCAGATTCATTTATAAAAGTAGGGGTGTTATGAACAACATTAGATCCAAAGATTTTGTCCAAGGAACGGCTAATTTATTTGTTGTAGTCTCTTGTTATTCACACACAACAATAAACAGTGATAGCACACGTGAGTTTGGAAACTACAAAGCTTTGTCTTAAGCCGTAAATCAAAGGCGCATCTACACAGACCAGTGTGACGCATTCACGAGCGTCAGATAGCTGTGGTGCATTCAGGAGCATGGGACATTTCACACTTACAAGGAAAGAGACATAAACGGAACAGAACTTAACTCATACAATAATTTAATGATAAACAGTGTGGGCTTTCTTATAATAATGAATGCTCTATAATTGTATTTCTGTTTTTTCATCTGCTAGCTTTTTATTCTAAAAAATCTATAATATTACAGCAGCAAATTATCAAAGTTTTTCAAAAGCCTGTTTAAAAGCTCCAAAATGAATACAGTCAAGTGTCAACTCCTCTGAGCTAGCACGGGATGCAATTTTTTGGCAATTTCTATTTTTATTTTATTTATTTTTTATCCAGTGTATAACATAAATGCATAAATACCTCATTTTATTTCAGTGTTAAATTCTGTTTAATCAGAATCTGAATATGATTCTGATTCTGATTAAAGTAACAGATCATTAAAAATGTCCCCGGACCTTTACTGGTTAATGATTTTCTTTATTTGGCTGATTTTTAATTGGTTACCCATGGTTTAATGTTTCTAAATATATATTTCCCGTCATGTGCTCCATCCCATGCAGATCATTGGCTCCACCCACATCTAGTGAAAACTAGTGTGATTGGATGAGTCAAAGAACGCAAACACTCATTGGTTAGCTAAAGGAAATCATCAGAAGCAAGCAGGTGTTCTTCAAACTGCTAATGTGAATTGTCTATGCCATGCTACAATGTAGGATTCAGAAAAAGATGTTGAAATGTCTGAAAGGTCGGACACAGGCGAGAGCGTATCGGGAGATGGAGACCAACAAGACCTCCCTCATCCTTGGCCCTATCTCAAAGAATTTTTTTAAATAGTTGAGAAATTGCGCTTTCAATTCATAAAGTGGCATCTGGCTGTTTTTTACAGGTTACTTTATACTTTTATACTTTAAGTAGTTTTTGGAGCACATACTTTTTTAACTTTTACTTGAGCAAAGAGGTCAAGTCGATACTGTGTGTGGGTGTGTGTGTGTGTGTGTGTGTGTGTGTGTACTTTTGACACCACTGTTAGCCGCTGCAGAGTCACTGCCACTGCAGAATCTACTGTTCTTTGTTTGAATAAATGCCCTTTAAGTATTCCACTGTCTGTCTTGGCTGAAATCTGGGTCCTACGTTCTGAGCCTTCTGACACTGGCTCCAAATTCTCTGATTTATCTGTGTTTCTAAATACCTAACTGTTTGCTACCTGATGTCTACTGTACAACATCCTTAGCTAAGAATTATAATGAGAAAAGCATGTGTAAACAATGATCTTGAAACACTATTGTGTAAAGGTCGTAAAAATAGGTGGAAAACTGCCAGTCTTCTTCACAGCATCAGTTTTTGCAGGATGTTGGTAATTTCTTTAACAATAATAAGTGATCTCTAAGCTGGGAGGCTCTTCGATCCTGTCCAGGCAACCATAACAACACCTTCCCCTGCATCATTCATCTCATCCATGAACAAAAACATGTGAGTAGGTGACATGCAGAGTTCAAAGCTGAACTCCTGAGAGGTCACCAACCAGACACAGGCAAAGAAGAGGGGGCGCCAACACTTCTTCATTTCTGTTTTCACGGACAACAATGAGAAACAAATAAATCTGCTTTCACAGAACATGTTTGTCCAAACAAACGTCATAAGGTCCTCCTATTGTAAAAATTTCATAATGTGCTCTAAATAAGGCTTTGATTATTTCAGGTAAGAAATTACATTTCTAAACATGTCTCTCTTTGATGTAATTCCCGGTATAGCAGGGGACCTTTTCAGCACAGAGGAAGAATGAAAAACTCACCATGTTGACCTCAGAGATGCTGTCAATGCTCTCCACCTGCACATCGATGCCCACAGGGATGGCTGAAGCTGAAATAATGACAAAAAGGTAAAACTAACAATCGGAATGCAGTGATTTTATTTTAATTTACTTTTACTTGCTTTATTTTAAAAATTCTGATACTTGCTACAACCATTATTCCTATTCCAAATGGACCGCAGATAAAAAGTAGCCTTCATGGCGAATGATTGGCATGTCCTGTAATAACATATTAACTGTAATAATAAATATTGCTTAATATGGCTTAATCAATGGTCTAACATTTAATTTTTACTCTAAAAGCAAATGTTAGCCAGAACAACTGCTACTGTTATAACTCTGACCTTAACTAGATGTTAACTTAAGGAAAAGTCCCCGAAATTCTTTCTAACCGAAGTAAGTATTAGCTTCGTAGTTTTAGTAGTTTAAAGAGCTCTATTACCTTTTGTAATTTTTAGCTTAAGTAGTTTTTATTTAAAGTAGCTGCTGGATTTAAAGATTTTTAGGTTGAGTATTTTTGCTTACTTAATTTATTGCTGTTTTAAATAACTTTTAGATAACTGTTAGACTAACGTTTTCTGCTGTAGTTTCTTGTCCTGCATCCACACGACAATTTATTTATACCATTAGTGCAGAGCTATGAACTCTCTTAATACCATGATACAAGACCTGGTTTGTACTGAGAAAAGCTCTCTAAGGTTATCTTCTAATATGTGGTGTCACTGGCGCCCAAGCCTGTATTTACAGTAGCAGGCATTAAAAATGGCCCTTCCCAGTGAAACGCCAGCGAATGGCGCCAGCTTCTTTCCAACTCCCAGCCAAATCCCCTCCAACTTCCAGCCACCGGCCCTCTGCTGGGTGTGCATATTTTATTACTCTGAATCCACCCTTTCACGGAATTACAGGGTCTGGCCAGGAGATAACACTTCTTTTTAGATCTTAATGTCCACAAATCATGACAGAAAAAATATTTTAGTACAAAAATAGTTTAAAAATGAATTGTAAGAGACCAGCCAAGGACCAGCCAAGGGCCCATAAAGGAAAGCCGGGAAATTTTAAAGGCAACTAATGTATAACAAATGTGCAATTTTCTCTGTTTTGTTTTAAAAGTCTTTAAAAGCCTTGTGTCCTTCATAAAGTCTGAATGAATGCATGAATGATAAAGAAGGATGGCTCTGTCCTAGTAGCTCCTCTATAGCTTTTTCAGAGGATTTTAAAAGGAAAAATTCTTTATAAAATGAAGAATATCATGGACAAAACTTAGCCTCCCTTTCAAGAGACTGATAAACACCAGCAGAGCATCAAAGACCTCCTCAGATTGACTGCAACACAAACTGCTAACTGCTCCTTTCTGCCTACAACCAGTGGCGGACCAGTGTCCCCCAGGAAAACTTTAGTAAAGAGCTCCTCCTCTAAATGATTCTTAATTTCTCAATGAGCCCTGAGTGCAACAGATTCTGTAAAGCTAAAACTACACTGTTCATCAATTGTAGCTTTAACTCTAGTCCCTCTCCTGGCATCCACTGCTGAAAAATAAAAGCTACTGATCCTACAATAACAGATATACACAGTACTCGAGTTGAGGGGGGATGGCATTCCGCTTCTTAAATAAATCTTAAAAATCATCCCCCTTCTTAAATGACATTTTATCACTGACTGTGTAATGTCAATTATATATTTACAGTAATAGTAATAATATTGCCTTTTCATCATTTGGCAGGTTGTGTGCTTACGAGAAACCTGGCCAAATTCCGGTGGCCCAGAGGGCACATGCGATTTAATTTTCATCCTCAGTGGTGCAACCAGCGGAGCAGCTGACGGTGCTCTGAACAGCGTCACGGCCAAGCAGCAAAGACAACGTAATTTTAGGGACTTAATTTTTAAGAAGGCAAAAACGCGTCAGGTAAGTCAAGAGTCAGAAGACATGACCTTTTCTAAGCTTACCATTGTGTCACCTAATATGTAGAAGTCCTAATCTCTGGACATCGCAATAGCATGCAAGACTAGGTAAAGTAGTTTAAAGCGCAAACATTTTTCTGTCTTTAAAGTTGTCATGACACACGAGAATTAGTCTGGAGAGTACAGCAATTGCTAAACATTCAAAATCTGCATTTTGGTTGTGATTTGATGTGGAAAAGTCTCATGGTTTATAATGAGCATCTGAACCATTAGTGAAGTATTTGCGTTAACTTTTGGGGCTTAAAAACTTAGACCTAGACAACCCTAGACGTAGACAAAATTTAGCTTGGCAGTGAAATTAGCATTTCCATTTCATAAAGTGCAGCAGTGATCAAATGTAAACAGTGTGAGAGAAAGACATGGTTCAAAATGCATTGATATGGAAGGTCAGAGCATTTCAAGGCAAATAAATACGGTGCAAATATGCAGTAGAAAAACATTCTTTTTTTTGTTGAGTTCTCTCCTAGAATGGGCTTACACTGTGCGATTTTTTGCCCTTTTTGGGGGCAACTTCCCAGGCATGCAAGAATTTTTTGATCGGGCCAACTTTCAGCCTGATCGTGCATGGTGTAGTGTACAGGGGGTAACGAGGGGCGATCAGCCTCTCACGACCACCTTCTGATCAGGAGGTCAAAATGTTTGATTTTCAGTCGGCCGTCGTGGACAAATCGCTCAGTGGGCAAACAAGGATTCTTCTTCTCCTTCTTCCTCTCAGATGAAAACACAGAAACATGCAGGGGTGCAATGAGTGAAATTAGTTCTTTCTGTAAAATTGACGGACCGTAGCAGCCTCGTTTCCTCACCCATGTCTTTGTCCAAATACGTCGTTGCCTTTTCTTTTTAGGGCTTTCAGCATAAAATTGCACAGATTACCAAGGCAGCGCGTTTCACTCTAGTGCGCTTCATATTCCTCTTCTTCTCATTTGGCTTCTGGATAGACGAGTCCGAGTAGCGCCATCTCACTGCGGAGCTGAGTCTGATGTGTTTTTTAGACGTACAGTCTGAGCAGGTAGATCGCATCATAGCATCAGGTCGCACAGTTTGAGAACATGCATCGTGAGCTTTGAACTGACGGACTTTGAGTAAAGCAGTATCATTGTGTAGTAGTTAATTAAATATGGTTTCACATATTACACATATTGTTCAGAAAATAAAAGTGAACAAATGCAGGAATTGATTCATTTCTATTACTTATTTCATTTTAATGAACCGCACAGTGGAGGAGGAGTAACGTGACCAACGGGGAGCAAAAAGAAGTGATCATCTGTCCGAAGGGTCAGTTAACTGAGTTCTCTATAAAGCTCACTATATAGTCTCCACTCTGTATAGTGATTGAGGCATTTAGGGGTTAGAGCAGACGTCTGGACACAGTAAGTATTGTATGAGCTATGAGAACAGTAACTTTTAAACAGAACGTGCATGAGGAGAAATGCTAATGCACGCTCTCGCTTGCGCATTTTTAAAAAGTGGAGAGTGCAGGTCTTTCAAAAAAATTGCGGAAATCCTCCACAATACCTTTAAACCACCCCGGGCTTAATGCTGAGAATCAGCAAATGGCTCCAGCAAATGCATTACATTTTCCCAGTTTATTGAGCAAGGCTAGTTTTCCCTGCATGTAAAACTGTAGCTACTGACATGTGATGATCTAAAGGACCTTTAATATATTGCCCCTTGCAGGTTCGATCCACAGGCGTTTGTCTACTTTGACTGCACGGTAAGTCTGCCCCTGCCAACAACCATCAACATCTATTACAACTGGTTTTAAAAAAGGTATGAGTTACTACAACATTTCATTTCTCTTTGGGATTAGTAAATTATTGTATTCATTGTATTTAAAGTATTGTATTGAATACAGAATGTATGTAAATAGCTTGTTTAGAATAGTTTGGCACCTGTTAGGCTTCCTGCTAGATTCAGTACCTGGTCGTATGTCTAATTTTTATCTTTAGCAGCTTTCAGCTTAAACAGTTTTTTGACTCCCTCAACTATTCATCTTCTCTTCCCTGGAAATAAATCGTGATTAAATAAAAAGAATAATCCTATGCATGATGACTAAATAATTGCTTTTAAATTAAAGTCTGAACGTGCTGAAACATGTTTTTTCCTTTTTTCAGATTAGATTATATCTTCTACCTTATTTTCTAATTAACCTATCCTTCATATAAAACTAATTGGGAAGGAAAACTCTATTGTTCTGTGACATCCTTTGTCTTTACCACAAGCTCACTGCTGCCACCACCTGCCCTCAGTCCTTCTGCTCCTCTGTTCAACTCATTAGCAGATTAAATATCTATAAACCTGATTTAAACACAAACAAAGGAGGGGAAAAAAAGCCAAACAGCACAAATCATAGAGGGAAAAACAAAAACATTGGTGACAGATACAATGTTCTGCTCTGCCCTCACGGAATAATCAAGATCTGATGCTGTTTGGGTTTTTAAAGATGTCGGTCCACCACAACGCCTTACACTGTTGTTCTTATTTGGAAATGTACTAATCTAATTTTGGGCTTTGGTTTCTGCTGTGGCTTTAGAGACAAAACAAACGAACAGCCTCTTTTTGAGACAAACTTCAACAGCAAATTTACTACAAATAAAAACTCACAAATCATCTCTGTCACGAGGACAACATGTTCAAAGCCAAACAGGAAAGAAACAAACCATTGATGACATCAGTCTCTAAGCTTGTTTTAACGATCATTCTCGATCTACATTTAAATGAAAAGGTTAAATCATGAACAGGAAGGTTATAACTGCACAAACAAAAGCTGCAGGAGAAGAGCAGCAGCAGCAGCAGCAGGAGGTATACGTGGGGATTATCCTGCTATTTATGTCCATTGGAAGATGTTGTAGAAACCTAGCAGCCTCTAATACATTGATAAGCTGTAAAAATATATCTATGAACCAAGAGATTTTGCAGATATATTTTTTATACATATATTGTTTAGATTTACTTATATATTTCTAACCCTTTTATAGAATAGAATAGAAAAGAATAGAATAGGATAGAAAATCAAATTTACAGCAGCAGAAAGATTATTGAAAATGGACACACAATTGTTGACCTTAGAAAAATGTATAAGACTAACATA